CCCATAGAACTCCATGGTAAATGACCCAATGTTTTGGTCACCACGTAGGGATCGCCGGTACTTCAGAGCAGGGTACGGAGAAACTTGTTTAGGGCGACTCCATCTTACTTCCTACCTCCATAAAGAGCACGCATCGGAAAATTCCTCTGCGAGTTCTTCACCTCTGACGTATGCAAAACATGATTATCAAGGTTCAAGGAAACTTCACCTTTTATTTTTCTAGTCTAAATTTTATGGCTGCCCCTATCTAAATTATTCTGGCCCTTTTTCGGCGCAAAATTAAGACCTTCTGAGTTTTTTGCCTTTTTTTTTTTTTTTTTTTTTTTTGACTCGGTGTGAAGGCACTTATTCCAAGTCATTCGGCTTTTCAAAATTTTTACCCTATTTGACAATCCCCTCTTTTTGATGATGTAATTTCCTTTGAAGATGTGGAGGTGAAGGCGTAATTGCCTATGAACTCCGTAACTTGCACTTCCTTGATCCTTGCTTTTGATTGGACATACTTTTGGATGACATCATTTTTCTCTTGCCGTAATGACGTTTAGACGAGATTCTTACTGTTTTCTTTCCGATGAACGACGCGCATGAGTGACACAGAAGCGTGAAAATTATAATTTGTTTTCTTTGTAATGAAAACATTTAGCTGCAGAGTTCTGAAGATGGCTTTCTGTTTCATGGAATTATAAAATCTTTCGAAGATTCTGTTAATATCAGAAGCAATCTTAAGCGCTTAGATTATATAAATAGCTGAGTTCACGACTTTAGTGCAAAAAACCAAAACACGACGATCTCTATTCAACAGTAAAGGCAGTTGGCTCGAGATCTAGTAAACTAGTAAGTGTATTATTATTGCAATTTTGTTGCATTCTGTTCCTTTCACATTGCAGAAAATATTTCCTTTGCAAATTTTATGTTATTTCCATGTTAATGCCCATGTCATTTCTAATATTCTATTGCCTTAAATAAAAGAAAAAGTGCCTTCAGTATTGTCGCTTAATTTAATACACATGTATATACGAAAAGAAACTTCCTTCTCTGACTAACACTATTTTTATGCAAAGGTGCAAAATATGTTACACAATAAAAATGGCCATATTCATAAAGTAGTATAATTCAATTTAAAATACGTATCTCTATTTCTCTGTTCCAAGTCTATATTAGTCTAACGTCAAATATAAATTTTACTTTTTCAGACTGATCATAAATATTGTGAATTTATTGTGTACTATGTTAGCTCCTCACGTCGTTTTTGCTATTTCTGAAAGCTGACTTGTCTCGTGCTTTCGGAGATTGCATCTGCAGAGAATGGATATATAATGAACATGAAATTATAAATTAATAATCACAACACTTTTAATAAAGGTTTTTTGTATTTCACATTTATTAACAATCTCTGCACTTAATATAAATACACATTTACGGAGTTAGCACAAGAAGAAATAGTACTTTTTCTCTGTAGGAAAAGAAAAAACACTGCATTTTTTATATTAAATTTACCACACTACAGTGTTGTAAAAGTGTTATCTCATGGGAACAAAATACAACGCACGTGATAATCTTTTCGGTACTGCTATTAAAATGCAAACAAACGGTATGGAGGTGTACCGTCAATCCCGAGCAAAGTCAAGGCGTACCTAAGCGTAGAGTAAATGAAGTCTTCCGAAAGCCATTTAATCCAATTACGACGAGGGATTTTTCCCTGTGTGCGTGCTGCGGTACAGAATGCTTATATGCGCCCCGGACACGAATTTTTGTGTTGTTTAAAATATTTTTGTTGATTGCATACGTCTGTTGCCAACGATTGCAAAAAGAAAGGCTGATAAGGACTTTTATAGACGTGGTGCATATCATAACGTGTGTGTATGTTTATTTTCAGAATTATTTAATTTGAGTTCATTAAAAACAATATGGTCTGTTATTATAGAAGGCCTCAAAACTAAGCAAACTTCACCTATAGACAAAATAAGTACAATTGTGGACATTCTTGACAGAATTAGTAATTGCCTTTAACATGCCACACAGTATTAAACTGAGAAACATCAAAATTCTTTCATGAAATTTGGCGATCTTCTTCTGGAACTGGAACCTGATGTAATTCTTATACAGGAAACGCATTTGATACCTGCGCTAAAAGTGCTTTACGCAAATTATTCTATTACCGTACGGATCGAGAAACCAGACGCGGAGGTGGAATTATAACTTCTGTTAAAAGGAGCATCCAATGTCAACTGAAACAAAATTTTTCTACCTCGTTTGAAAGCAATACAATTCAAATTGAGCACAAACAATTCATTATCTCTTATATTTATATACCTCCTAATAATAGTCCAATCATTTCTGAAATTGAACAGCTACTGAATTTTAACTGCCCTGCTTTAATTGGAGTTAAAAGGAGATTTTTAACGAGAAGCATCAAAGCTGGAATCAAGGAGCTAGCAATAGAAAAGGACGAAACAATTTTTAGCATGATTCAAAATAAATATTATACTATTCATGCCTCTGATGAACCTATGCATTACGGCTATAATAGTTCTTCTATTATTGACATTTTTCTGTCCAATAACCTCGACTATGATTGCCAAATTTCTGTTATTCCAGCTCTTTCATTCGACCATAATCCCATTTTTCTTCAAATCAGCATGAATAGTTACTTACCTTCACTGGGCAGGAGTATTGGCGTTACAGACTAGAAACAATTCTCAAAAATCATTTTAGATACCATTCCTGGAAATCCCAAAATTATCAATGAAGACGACATTGAGTCTGAAATCAAGAAGTTTACCACCTTTATTCAACATGCTATCAATTTTTCAACCAATAATTCATAACCCTTTGCTTCCTCTTCCAGCCACCATAAGACAAAAAATCAAATGCAAAAATTGTATTAGGGAAAACTGGCAAAATACAAGAGACCCAAGGCTCAAAACGCAACTGAACGCTCTTCAACGTGACATCAAAAAGGACATTAGTAACTTCAAGACGCAGCGCTGGCGAAACGTCCTCGACTCCCTCTCAACTGAAGATAATTCTCTTTTTGACATCACAAAGAAATTTAAGAAACCCTCCAAGCAAATTCCGCCACTTCTTGGTACCAACGGAATAATTTATTCAGACGAAGATAAAGCTAACACCTTTGCAGGTATGCTAGAAGAAACGTTTACTCCCAATATTACCCCCTGCGACAACAATCATATCTCCAAAGTTAATGATATTGTTAATACCTTCTTAAAAATCCCAGGTCCTTTAAACTTTACATTCCTTGCCACGCCTAAGCTGGTTGCCAATTATTTTAGCTCCTTAAAAACCAAAAAAGCTCCAGGTGTTGATGGTATTTCTACCAAAGCGCTGAAACATCTTCCTATCAATACCATCACTTGTCTTACTAAGATAATCAACTCTTTCATCAAATTCTCTCGTTTTCCTAATATATGGAAACATGCCATCATCCTCGTCTTCCCAAAACCGCATCAAAATCCAACGTTTTCCCAGAACTACCGCCCAATCAGCCTTCTCTGTCAACTTTCTAAAATAGCTGAAAAAGTTATTCTATATCATCTTAATCAAATTATTCCACAGAGCTCCTACATTCTAGAAGAACAGTTCGGCTTCCGTCATCTTCACAGTACTAATCACCAGCTGCTTCGTGTCATCAACTACATTACTGACGGTTTCAATTGTAAGTTCCCTACTGAAGCCATTTTTCTTGATATTGCGAAAGCTTTTGATAAGGTATGGCACCGAGGACTTATATATACAAATTTATCAAGTTAAACTTCCCCGATCATTGTATTAGACATATTGCTTCCTATCTCCAAAACAGAATCTTTGCAGTGAAAATTGGCAGTTCTGTTTCTTCCACGAAAAAACATTTTCACTGGAGTACCCCAAGGATCTGTATTTTCTCCATATTTATATAACATTTACATTTACGGTATTACTAAGGACTCACAAATTACCGTTGCTCTTTTCGCTGATGATACTGCAATTATGACCCAAGCTTCTACTGTTACTGTTAACTAGCTCCTTCTTCAACATTACCTCAATCATCTAGATCCGGGAATCATCCGGGAAATCAAAAGTAATAGTTTTTCGCAAAGGCCAAGCAAATTTTACTCCATCTAGACATTTTCTGTTTGACGAAGAAATTGACTGGGTTGACGAAGTTAAATATCTAGAGTCATTCTTGATAAAAAAATTGACTTTTCAGAAACATCTCAGGGAAACTGTGAAAAAATTAATATCAGGCTTGCAACTATGCGCCCACTTCTTGGCAGAAGAAGTCATATTCCCCCTTCTAATAAACTACTCTTATGTAAATCTATACGTCGACCAGCATTACTCTATGCAAGTCCTGTCTGGGGCCATGCTGCCAAAACTCACCTTCTACACATCCAAGTTCTTCAAAACAAAGCACTCAGATTATTAACGCGCCATGTTTCATTCCAAATTCGTATATCCACCGTGATCTCAAAGTAGATACAATTCAAGATTATATTCAAAAAACTTGCCAGAAATTTCTTCTATTCAGTTCTCATTCATCCTAACAACTGCACCAACTCTCTTAGATGTTCTCCATTTCCCAAAGAAAAGCACAAATATCCATCTGACATTCTCCATCTTTAACATTTTTTACTCATACTAGATTCTTCAGTTCACTGATTTAGATCTTCGACCAGAAACTCACCTTTTTCGTCGACTGATTGCGGCCACCTGACTTTAACTTTCGTCTTTTTGTTTTACCGATGTTCTTCAAGAGTAAAAGGAGGCGCTGCTTTCTGAAACTCAAATTCAAAATGTGTTCTTAGTTTGCACCTTGACCGACAGATGGCATCACAAAAATCGTCAAACCTAAACCAAATTCTGAGACTATTTACGGAAAGACCAATAGATGGCAGCACGCAACTCGTAAAGATTCCCTCCTCCACCGGCATCTGTACTTCAATTTCTATTCCCTCTCCAGTTTCAATGAGCAAATTGAGGAATTTTTCATCCTTTTCTCCCTCTCCCTCCATTGGATTCAATCAGGAACTTTTATCACTATGCCCATAGTGGACTTCTTATAGGTTTACAGGGAAGTACTGTTAACGCAGTAGAACCCTTGTATAACTACTTTTGTATCAACGTGTTCCGTCTGGTTCGACGGAAAAAGAACTTCAACTTCGAAAGTGAAACTGTATTTTGGTTGTTATGGCTTCGAATATTGTGTTTATTCACGATCTTCCTTTTCAGCCTCGGAGAGAATTATGTCGTATACTTGATGCTGATAGACGATGGGAGGAATTAGGTGTATATATGTATTCGATTATTTTTTGGTGAATAAAGTGCAATCAGTATAAGAGAAATGATCCGTTAATTTTGTATATTGTTTTTGAAACTTGCTGTATAAAATTTTTTGAAGTTTTTTTTAAGGATAAATGAGTCTTTTAGATTTTTTTGCATAATTATCATATTGATAATAATAAAGCATTCTAACTGTAGGTGGAAATCATATGAATTTGGACGTAACAACATTAACACTTATTGGACAAGCAATTCATCGAGATAAAAGCCCAACATCGGAACTTCTTAACAAGTACAGCGAAAGAAATGGAACTATCAAAAGATTATTCATAATGCTTGCGAAAATGGATCATCAGCGAGCTATGTCAGTCTTGCAACCATATGGTAATTTTTATACTAAGCAAACAATTTTCTTTAAATTCATATGTTTTTCTTTTAGCTTGACAGAATTTAGTTTCTGAAAGTCTCATCTTGTTTGACAGTAATACCAGATCTTGTTTCATCACTGACTTTGATCTGGAATTCATCTTCCTGCAGTAAATTCATAATCAGATTGACTGTTTTACTAGTGGGCTGATGGTTATCCTACTTATGTTGTTTTTTACTTGGTACAGGTAAGCCTCCTATAACATGGTAGATAGGTTCCTAGAAAATGCCGTGTTGTGTGAAACCATGTTGTATGAAACAAAAAAGGGGGTTACATTCCAAAAACTTATTAAAAACAAATATTTTTTTTAATTCTACATAAACAACTTAATTTTTATTAAAAATATGTATCTATGTACAACACAAAACAAAAATATTACGTATTTTAATTTAACACAGCTTTAGCTTAATAAAATTCTTCCTCTTCATTGCTCAGTACAGTCAAAAGTCGTTAATTCGGACACCCATAATCCGGAATGATCTATAATCTGGACCTTGAAGCTACAAAACTTTCCGCGTATGCGTCTCGTTCACGCATGCACACAGGCGTTTACGAGTGCGCGTAAGACCTTTACAGCTGTGAATAAGCGTTTGTGCATGCGCGTTTAATGTGTAACAGACGGTATAAGCTAAGCTAAAATTATCTAATTCAGTTAATATTGCAGATTGCGTTGTTTCTTAATCTTTGAATTGGATCCGGCTTATTATTTTTTGCAGACTGTTAGAGCAATTTTATAAAAGTAAGCTTGAACTTTTGATTATGTCAAACAGAATTTCCGATATATATTTGTTAATATGTAAAGGATCTAAAGCGAAAGTATGTTTTGAAATCCGAAATCTGTTTATCATTTTCACGCTGCTCGGCGGCGGGCGCGTAATGAATTGGAAGTTGATTTGTCAGCACTATCCTTATCTTCAGCGCAGATGTTTTTATTTTATTTGGCTTATAATTCCTTACCAAATGTAGTATTTCATCTCGATATCTCCTCCGTCTTTGATATGATTTAAAACAAGTTCCTCGTCATTATAATTCGCTTCCGATAGCGAAAAAAAGTGACAGAGGTTATTGAAAACAAAAAAATTTCGATTGACAAATTAGTCGGTGTTCTTGACACAGCAATTATAGGACTTGAACGGCGGAACTTTGTAACTGAACAAGAAATTATGTCTGTTTAATAGAATTAAAGAGAAAGTATTATCACATGAAACGAAGCAACTTAAACAACTTACATTGAAAGAAATGTTTAATAAAGTAAACAAATAAATATTAAGCTTTTTCTTTTTGTAAATTTTGATACCCTTTAGATCATATTGTTCTTTATTTCATAAATTACGGTTTCATATTTTTAATTTTGTAATTTCTGCATGCCATCTTACCAGATTTAAACTGATGATCTATAATCCGGAAAAATCGATAATCCGGAATCGCCGAAGTCCCGACGAGTTCGGATTAACGACTTTTGACTGTATAATCAACCAAGAGTGTTTTTTAGGTGCAATGAAATCGCTTTCACTTTCAGAATTTTTTTCTTCATTTAAAATTCTGATATATTCTTCCCTCGTTAATAAATCTGTAATTTTACATTGTGTACTAGTTCTTACCAGGTCATTGTAAATTTCTATATATGGAGCTAGACAGTTTTGCAGCTCCCTTTTGAATTTTCAGCTTCTTTCGGCAGAAGGGTCTGCATTGAATAATAATGACTTCTTCCAACATGCATTGAATGTTAATGCTTTCAGATCTTTCAGCGACAAAGATATGATGTCGATACAATGCTGGATTGAAAATTTGTTCCAGGCTTCCATAGCATTAATTGAGTTTGAGTCGGTTATGTCTAAAATCTACTGTAGTGCTCTTCTTACGTAATGCGTTTTAAAGGTATAAGTAATATCTTGATCAAATGGTTGGAGTAACGAAGTAGTGTTAGGTGGTTGAATAGTATTTTGGGATGATTCAAATCTTGTGGGTGGCATGGAGCATTATCTAATAGTAATAAAGTCTTGAAGCTTAAATTTTTCTGCGCCGTTCAACGTTTGGCACAAAACAATTTATAAACAAGATCTATAACTATCTATAAACTAACAAGGGTTTTGTCTCCCTCATTATGTCTTAGATGACTGTGTGGGTGACTTAAACAATTTTCTTATTGTGTTAGAGCGAAACCGTATTGCAAGAGGGTTCTCGCAATTTATGAATCGTGTTATAGTGAAACCGTGTTATAGAAGAGTTACCTGTATGTGATTTTGCTGGAAAAACTTTATGTAGGTTTAGCTATCTTTCATTTTTATTGGAAAACATTTAAAGTTATATGTTATAGTATCTTGAATTCATTGAACTGTCTATTTTAAGATTGGTATTTATTACTTCTGTGGTGTTCATATACTTTATAAGCTCTCATTCACTCTTATGAGAGTTAAATTCTTTTGAAGTGATAATTACTTTCAAAAATTAGAAAGCTATTTTTTGAGAGATTTTTATAGAGTATGGAGGATAGAAATTTTGAATGCAAAATGTATTTTTGTTAATGTATTGTGATAGATGAAAGTGACCAGTCATCTTAATATAAGTGTCAAGCTTCAAGATATGTCATTCTGTGCAAGTCTAACGTTTTGTAAATTCAGATACATTCTGTTAGTGGTAGATGAAAGTGACTAGATAGGTCATTAACCCAGTTAATGTGGGAGTGTCCCAAAATCCATAGAAAATGTTCCATAATCCCTGTTTTCTCATATTTAGTAAATACTCAGTATAAATTTTTTCTATCAGTATTTCATCTTGTTATATTTTTAACATATTTTAACATATATTCCAAATGCCCTTTTTACAGAATCGTATATTCTATAAAATTAATAGTTTATGAAAAATTTCAGGTCTGTATGTGATCCACGTTTTTTACCCAGTAAAATGAACAATACAGTTAGATGAAGTACAGAATTTTAAATGCATGGATGAAAAAAGTATTATAAAATGAAAACATGAAAGCTTTATTTTTGCAAGAAAGAGCAAATTATTCAATGAATTTTTGTGTTCAGAAAAATGTGTTATCTTTAAGAAATTAAAAGGTGATCTAAAATTGTCAGTATATATAAAGACATGATTCCTGAAGTCGTATTTATTTATTTTAAGATAGGTAGCCTTTATTTGTTTTCTCTAATCAAAGAATAAGTTAAGTAAGCCTTTCGCTGTAGGTACTTGAGTCACCAGATCATTCTCTTGGGTTGGTGCAATAACAGGAACCTTGTTGGAATGGGCAGTTTGTGCTGCTAAGCCTAACTTTAGAAAAAAAAAAATTCATAAATTAAATTTGTTTTCCAATTGTTCCAATTTTTGATAAATTATGAAACAAATACTCCAGTCGTTGTCAGAATTAATTTGAGAAATTTATCATTATATGTTCTGTGCTATTTGATGTACAAAAATGTTTTTCTAAATGATACACCATTCACCTCAGTGGTGAAACATTGAGAACATTTGTATGCATTTATATCAATTGATGCAGTTCATAGCCAGCTCTGTGTATTTACATTACCAACCCACAATTCCTACTTCGATTCTGAAACAAAAAATAAAAAATAGCAAAGGTCAACGGGGTGGGGATATATTTCAGGGTACCCTTTGGTGAAAATTGGCAATTTTTTGTCACCATTCCTGTTAACGTTCAACACCTTCCCCAGTAGAATGGTGTCCAAAATGTAATGCAATAAAGCATAATTAAAACAAAAAATATATAATTCAAACAAGGAAATAACATAAAAATGGAAATACATGTTATTTAATATATGCAGTACAAAAAGGAAATATCAACTTGCCTTATTTAGAAATTTCTGTGTCTTCGGTGTGTGGCAAGCAGAATTCCTTAACAGCATCCAAAAACTGTCTAAAATTACCTGAACTGGAATCTGCGCACTGCTGTTGCCAAATAAACTCACAAAAATAAGAATAAAAAATGTCTTCCGGACTGTCGTCTCCATAGTGTCGGGCAAACCCATTAAAAGCCATCTAAACGATCTTTATTTTCGATCATATGCATTTTCTTTGTACGGACAGGACACTTTTGAGGATTACTGAGTAAACCCTCACTTACACCAGTCATTTGATGCTTTTTTCCCCCATTCTTTCCAAATCATACAGAAAGTTCAGATTAATCTTATCATGGGCAGCCATTTTAGTGTAAAGCACAAAATAAGCGACATCCAACACAGAAATAAGCCATGAGAAATCAAACTCGCCACGATCACGCATTACAGCCAATCACGTCATGATAGGGTTTCCAAAACATACATGGTAAAATATTCAGGTTACCAATAAAAGAAACAGCTTGGTGATAATCCAAGGGGTACCCCGAAATATGGACTACCCAGGTCAACATTTTTCCAGTCTGATAAATTTAATCTAACAGCTATAGGGCTTTATCTAATGGCAAAAAGGATATTTATTAAGCATTCTATCTAAAAATTCATATGTAGTATTCCTAAACTAACAGTCCATTTAAACCGTGATTCATATTTGACACACCTTGCGCTGAGATAGTGGTGGCTGATGCATATATGACATACCTGTCCCAAAAGGGTTAAACTTATTAACTTATGTATTTCAGCAATAAATGAAGATTACGAAGATTTTTTTTTACTCTCAGAATAATCTTTTCAAATATCCATGTTTGATAATTGAATTGCACTTCAAATATGTATTTCAGTACTAAATGAAGATGATTGAAGAAACCCATTTAATTACTGACCTGTGAGATCTATCATAATCGTGAAATATTTATTGACCTGTGTGAAGAATTCAGTCCAAGGAAAGTTCTTGGAAAAAATGCTCAAAATAGATAAGCAAAAATTATAAAATGTTGTTGAAAATAGCAGGCATTTGGCATTTAAACCATTAACTTTCTGGCATTTCTGAGCTGTGCATCTAATACCCAATAAGTGCAACATACATCGGTCAACTTTAATTTGTAGGTTGGAATCAAGAAGTCCAGTTTCAAATAGATATGCATTGAGACAGCTATGTTCAGTTAACAGATGAAACAAGCAGCAACTGAACATTGAGGACAACTTAATTTCAATAGACATCTTAGAAGAGTAAATTCCAAATTTTGGTTGAAGGAAGAGTTTTGTGGAGTAAAATATCATTAATTTGTTAGACACAGAAAATACAGTAATACCTTTCTACGCTTAGGGTTTTATCGCTTCATTTGTACCAAAGTGAGCTGTGACCTTCGTGAGAAGGCAATAACACTGAAAAGCATGGTGACAGTTTCTGTGCAGTAATTGTAGGCAGGAAGTCAGTTTACTGGTTTATGTTAACTTTTTGTCTCAAAATATAAATTAAATATTTAATTAATTAAAATAAATATTCAGGTAATATTTCATTGTTTAGTTAGTAGCTAATTGTCACTTGCTTAGGTGGCAAACCAATTTTTAGTTCTTTTTCCTCTTAATTATTTGAATCGTACTACTGCAGGATGTATTCAAGCTTGTTTTGCTGCAGAATGTGTATTAAGTATCCTACTACTGCAGGATCTATTCAAGTTGTTTTTCAGTATTTTGAATGTTCTGTTGATTACATCCTTTGCTTTAGCATTTCCTTTTAGTCTTTATGACAAAATGAGTTTGTTATGTAGAACTGTATAATTTCAAAGTCATTATTTTTCTTAACTTTGAAATTTATTTTTCATAAAGCACTGTTAATTTCCTTTCTTAAAATATAAGACTACTTCTGGAAATTACTTCCATATTTCATTTTTCAAAGTCTTCATCTAATACCCATATTTCAGGGGGGGAAGGTATTTGATTTTTCCCTTTCAAAAGAAATTGCAGTAATTGTATTCAGAAAAATGCCTGGCATAACAACAAATTGGCTTCTTTTTTTTATGAGCAGTTTTATGACTTTTTCTGATCCTGATATAAAAACAAAAATATCACCAGACTAATCTCATATTTCAGCTAAGTTTATTTCAGTGCATCAGGGTAGAAATTAAGGAAGGGGCATTTTACTAGAAATTTTTCGTGCAGTGCAAATCTTATTAAATGAAATTTATCAATGAACATAGGTAACCGAGTTTCTAAGATCAAATGTATCTCAAAGTGTACTAATTTTGCTAACTGTGTACTCATTACTTATTTCCATAATAAAATATATCTATTTACCATTAAAGCATTAAAGAAAAAGTTACTAAAAACTTAAGATAAATGGTTTCACAGCTTCAGTATTCTTTTTCTTCATCATTTCCATTAAACTAATTTTATAGTATTTCACTAAAGTTTGCTAATGGCTTTGTTTAAGGATTCTTTCTGCAGTTAACAAATAAAAGTATTGAGGAAGACAAACCATTTGTATGTTACGTAAAAGTATGTTTTCTAGTTTTGATTTTTATCATTTTTCATTTATTGAAGTAATTAATATATTTATTTGTTTAATGAATTCATAGTTATTTATTATTATTGATATATTTGTAATAATAATTTGTTTAAAATAGTAATATATTGTCTGTGATAAACAAGATTTGATTTCGTACATCAGAAGTTGTTGATTAGTTTAATTTTTATAATTTCTATTACTTTAGGAAATAAATACCAAATGGCTTCATTAAGTGCTTTCTGCATTAAACTGCAAAGTTTCTTTTCATGTATTTGCTGTTAATGAAACTCCATGAAATTTAATTATTATTGTAATGCAATCAGTTTAACCCTTTGTGGACACTAATTAAAAAAATGCATTTGTATTAGCTACGGATGTGAGTCATTTATCCATAAAGGATTAACTGTTCTATGATTCTGTTACAACATGCATAGTTATTAAGTTAAAATTATTTTGAATTTTAAAACTTAGTGTTAAACAAATCATTGAATCTTGGATGAATTGATGCTGTGTGAAATCATTTTATGTAATTTTTATATTTTGTATTTTTAGTGGAAGAAAAATACCATCGTCTTCTGCGTACGGAGAGCCTATCATCTGCATTTTTGTCTTGTTCAAAAAAAGAGGCTACTTCTAGACCATCTTTATCACAAGTATGTACATAATTTTGAAATTTTATTTTGCATTTTTTTTACATAACCATATTTGGATATGTTAAATAAATTTTACGTAATTTTGTCATAATGAAATCTAGTCTTCATGTTCATTGTAGATTTTGAAAGTTTTGGGCTTGATCTGTAAATCTTCACAACATGAGTTAGTGGGCTTGCTCAAAAAAAAAAAAAAAAAAAAAAAGAAGCTGTGGATAACATATTGCAAGATTAGGTATGGCCAGACTTGCAGGAATCTTTCAGAAAATGCACATTTTTGAAGTTTAATTTTTGAAGTTTTTTGAAGTTAAGCACTGTAGTATTATAATGAATGTGTATATCATTAGAATGACAATTTCATTTAGAACATTACTTCATGGAATAATTTAATGTTTTTATTCAGAATTCAGAAATTCAGAATTGTGAGGAAGTAATGTAACTTCATTTTTCATGATTTCTATTTTAATATTTTGTTGCAGAGTCTTTTACTGCAATTAGAACTTCAGATTGAACCAAAAATTTTAGTTCATCAGATGTTCTAATATGATATGTGGTTGTATAATTTCTTTAGTCATATACTAATGTTTTTTGTCTGAATATCATGCATATTTATTTGGCTCCAAATATTTTCATTTTGTGCACTTAAATAAGAACCATTTCTCAGCCATTCTAGCAATGCAAACTCATTTTTTTTTTTTTTTTTTAAATTTTAAACTATATTTTTGCACAAAATAAGACATATAGTTCTGTGGAAATATAAAAGTGTTAATATTGCAGAAAAGGTAATGCATGTGAGCTATTGGTATTAATTTGGATCATCAATATATCACTTCTGTATTTTGTTCTTTTTAAAATGTCATTAATTTTGCAAATTCTTCTGACATCTTTTCTTATCACATGTTCCCACAGCATAGTCATTGGATACAGCGGTTCCATCCTACCTATAACAGAAACGAAACTCTGAAACTATTATAGCTAAAAACAAATGAGGATACCCAATCAACAGATCTTGTCGAGATGAGATCTATCAATTGGATAGCACGTTTATGGGTAGCTGCAATAGAAAAGAATCTAGCGAATTATTATAGATAGAAACAAATGGATCTGTCGATTGGGTAACCGGATTCCATTCTACCTATAATAGAAAGCAAACTAAACTCACCACTTACATTGTACCTAAGATAGAAAATGAAACTAATGATCTAATGAAGTTAGAAGCAAATGAGTGCATGCAAACATTTGCTCTTAAGGAGAGCTGTTATTGGATGTAGTGGTTCCATCCCACAGCATAACAGTAACAAGATGCTTTACAAGGTACTCGTGCATTATCGCAACCACCTTAATGGAAGTCACAAGATTTTCAGAATCTGCCAAACTCTGGCAGCCATGAACATGAACATCCTTAAAGCAACCATACTCATAATAATCCTTCACTTAAGCAGCATTTTAATTTTTGTATGTGTTCTTTCTGTTGTATTCCAAGCTGTAATGGCTTTTGTAGACAAATTGTGATATTTTATGTTTTTAACGTGTCAGTTATGGAATTTGCCAGTGTTAGAAGAAAATACATTAAAATTTCTGGAGGAATACATTCTTTTGCCACAAAATCACTAAAGAGAATAGTGATAAAATGTGTTTGGTAGATGATGGATGCTCAATATTAAATTTGGCCAATTTGCTAAGTGAAGACACATTACTGTATACGTGGGCCGAAGAACAGCGATAAAATTTATAGAAGGATTTTGGAAAAAATATAAGAGGTTTATTGTTTGATCTATCATATAATCTATGTTTAATAATTAAAATTTTTATATTTTAAATTCCTAAAGTTTGTTTTCTTTTGTTATGTAAATAATTCTTGCTGACGATAATTATCGATAGTTTGGGAATTTTTTTTTATATAAAAAAGTCACTACAACTGACAGCACACCCTTGGTAAGTAATGTAAAAAATTGACAGATAGCACTAAGGTGGTTGCTTTAATATGTAGGTACCCTTTACAATAGGTTCTGTGCATTCAAAGCATATTTTCTTCTATTCCTGTTCAACTCATTTTGTTCCATTACAGATGTGGATATTCTTGTTTTATTATTCCATTACAATACCATTCTATTCTTCTTTTGCCAACTACTACAGTTTCTCTTATTCTGATCTTATCTTGTTCAAGTCTGGATTATGGCTCAGTAGTTCATGGATAAGCATGACCTTCTATTTTACTGAAACTAGATCCTGCTCATCATCAGACTCGCTAATTTTTTCTGGAACCTTCAGAACATCTCTGATACAGAGTCTGTGTTCTTTCAATACTAAAAAAAAGTTGAGATTAAAATTCAGAAGTCTGTAATTAAATGGGGTGGTGTAAATTCACTAATTCAAATAAGGATTTGCTTTTGTTTAATCCAAATGTTGTTTTTTAAATCAATAAATACAGGTATAGGGTGAAGCAAGGCTGGCATCTGTGCTTTCCCATAGGTACATACTAGGTATTGTATCCCCTTGCTAACTGTTATACTATCACACAGTTTTGAAGGAGAACACCTCGAGGGACAGTTTGAGGGTCTACCGCCAATTTTTTTAGAGGACTTTTGATTCACCATATATTTTGAGTTCCTCTTTGCTGTAAACTTACAACCATCCATGCCTTTTCCTTGATTTGAAACTGGGCTCTCATCAGAGTGGTAGTCAGTATCAGTAACCACTATACTTGGTGGCAACTGATAAGTATATTTATTAAATCTTCTAACAAATTTAAGAGTGATTTTTTGGCGAAAATTTGGCGACCAATTCTGCTACAGCAACCTGCTAGTTTTTGTTTGGACGCCATTTTGTTTTCACGAAATAAAAGCATTTTTTTTTTTTTAACTCAACATTTTTTTCAACAATCTGCTAGCCGAATTACGCTTATGTTAGAACTTTTATGGAACAAAAGTGCTTAATTAGATTAGGTGAAGATTAGGTGTGAAATTGGGAGAAAGTGCAGAATCGCAAACTGCTTCCCGCGTTTTTAAGAATTGCACATATACGGTATCCATGTACACGTCGACCTATTTTCACTTCAAAAAAACATCCCTGAATTGCACAAAAATGGCATTGCGCACACTCTTGACTTTATCCATGTACACTGCTAAAGTCCTAGCTAGTAACCTTTATCGCCTTACCAAAATGTCGCCAAACTACCTGTTACCATATTCCAAAGATTAGTGCATTAATCTTTTGAGGTCGGGAATTTGACATTTGTAAGATCGTTAAAAAGACAGGATTTTTTATAACTTATTCTTCTCCCCTTTTAAGAAGTTCTTTGCTGTTTGCAACAAAGGCCTCTCTAGATAGTTTGATTTATCCTTAAAAAGGTACGGAAAAATTTTACAAAAGGAAGAGAAATGTAAGAATTATTGACAAAACTGCTAGATGAGTTTCCTTAGCAAAAATTTAAAGGTGCAGTTAGTTCCAAATCAGCATAATGCAGAAGAGAATGTATTATTATAGAAAATGTCCTTCTATTTCTCTATAGTACAGGACATAACTTCTTTTTTTTTCTTTTTAAATTGTATGAATTTTTAAGTAGTAATTTGAATTTTTTTGTATCAGATTTAATGCCTTTATAAATTGTTAACTGGAAGGAATTCTGTTCTATTTTTATTTTAACTTGACTAATGAGCTCAACTTGCATTCCAGTTATGCACCACAATGGGTGCAAATGATCAATCATGCAAATTTTTCACTGACAAATATGTGTGTATTTGGGAAGAAAGAATTTTTAATCTCATAATTGCTGAGGGATTAAATTTATGTTATAAAATTCCTTAATGTTTTATTACTTTATAGATATTTTTAGTCTATTTGATTTATCGAGTCTCCATCTAATTTTTTTAGTGCATCTGAAATTTTTTCCTTAGATTTCATATACTTATTTTCTTAAGTTTACAAACATTCATGGCTTTGTAAACAAAAAAAAACACCCTGCAAATGCTGGAGTAAACATAAATGTTACTTATAGCGTATTTTCATGTCATCTTTTTTTTTTTGTTGTTGTTGTTTAATTGTGCTATATATTATATAAAAAATATTTGAATTCTTTAAAATTTGGTACTATTCCGTTTTGAGGACTGTAAAAAATCGCCAAACTGTTGTTGATGCCAGTACTGCCAAAAAGTATTGCGGCAACCCTAACGCAAGAAAGGAGGTATATAACTATCTAAGATTATTATTTTAATTTAGATGAAAGTGTAACTTAAAATAATATTTTTATATTATTATAATTTATATAAAAAATGGCTAAACATAACTGAATGGATTCCTGCATCACTATTTCGCTACCGAGGTATCACTGAAGCATAATTTCATCTCGTTGGTTGTTCAAACATAATTTTCTATAATGAATGATGCCTTTTCTTTGAAAAAATGTTATTGCAGACTTTTCGTCATAGGCATTTCCCAAATTGTTAAATCCATAGGATATCAAAAAAGGATTTAAAATAAAAAAAAGTCTTAAAAATTAAACTAGTATTTCAATGGCATTTTAAAAAATATAGAACAATCTAAACTTACACAATTTGAAATCAGTGCGTATGCTAGATTTGGTGCACTGTTTAAATGGACGCGTTTGTTAGATTTGGTGCTTTTGCGCATACATTTTCACCACAGTTTCTTTACGGTCCTCAAAACGGAATAGTACCTAAAATTTTTTTGGAGGGAATGGTTAAAAAAATAAGAAGTGATGCTAAAAAAATTATTAAATTTTTAAACTGTATGGAAATGTTACAATTTAAATTGCAGACATGTAAAAATTTTAAGTTTAAATAAATGTTAAAAATTTGCATAAAAACGTAACACTTAAGAGTGAAAACTGTCAAGAATTTAAAATACAAAGTGTTTAATTGAAATATGACTTGTACTGTAAACTGTTTGTATACTTTGTTTTGCAATTTTCTTATGGCAAAAAGCTTTTAAATTGGAAAGATAAAATTATGGGGTGTACACAATTTTTGAAAGAATGTGAAGAA